TTTTTAGCGCGTCGGCTGTGAGCCGGACCATGTAGACAAACAATTGAGCTATGGACAACTTATAACCTTCACTCCTTTCTAGTATTTCGTCAAGTGCCCGATTGAGGTGAGCACTGCCCTGCAGATGGCGCTGTTGAACTGCTGTGTCACCGTTGGCCAACAGATCTGCCATGTTGTGCCTGGGATGACAACTATAATGGAAAATAAAATGGAAAAGAACATGGAAAATGAAATGGAACCTGGGATTGGGGATGACAGGGATGACATGGAGTTTCTTCAAGCCGCTCGTCCCTGATGGGCATATACCTACAATGAGTACTATAGCATTTCGAGGGTTGACAGGGAACCCTGGTTGTCAGAATGGTCCATCTTTGCGTTTCAATGAAGAACAAATTATTGTGTGCTCATCTTGACGCAGCGTCCTTCACTTCAACAGCATAGCCTACCCAGCAGAAGCGAGGTCAGCTTCCTTTCGAAAGCCTGCTTCTAGCTACGAAGAGCATACTCATCACGGAGCCCGGCGCTCTAAGGAGCTGTTTAACTGGCCCTTCCCAAACCCTAAAGCCTTAAACTCAGAAATTAAAACCAGGGGCAGGGGAACACAAGCCCAATACCTCCAAAACCGGACAGCACTGAAATCCCTGAAGCCTCCAAGGTGACGGCTGCCATTGAAGTGAATCTGCCCCTCCATGCAGCACTGCCCGTGGCCTTCCTTTTTGCCGCTGGAGCGCCTTGTCACTGGAGGGCCTGCTCAGCATACCCTTCGTGGCTTCAAGATGGGTGTACTCAACTTTTGGGTTTCTTTGTTTTCATTCTGTAGCTTCATGAGTTACGCGGTCACTTAGGGATAGTCTCCTTAGAGTTTGCTGCTCCCGCTCTTTGTTCAGCAGCCGCACTAGAATCTGGATCGGGGCGATTGGATCCGAGCGTAGGCTGAAACCCACACAGCAGGCAATGTCAGTCACTGCAAGGGCCTGAGTCGGCCCGAGGCGGTTAGTTTGACAAGCCACGGCTTGACTTGCAGCCATCCCCTCAATCTCCAAACTGTTGAAGTGCTCGAGGCCCCAAAACCACAGCAACCTTGATTTCGTTGGCCCCGCAGCTTTAAAGTCTCCTGCACTAAGACGTACATCGTTGGTGGCGCCTTCGCGCTGTGTCTGAACGACAAGCCGCCAACCGAGGCAGTTAGGGTTTGGGGGGCTTTCAGTTGGCTTTGAAAGGGGCTGTCTATGGCTGTGTGAGATCTAAGGTTTTGGGTCCATTGAGGCGAGGGTGTACTATTCTCAGGATCAAATCCGATTCCAAACATCAAACTCGATGAGTCTACGGAGAGATAGGCTTTTTTCAGATTTTGCAACTATTCGAACTAACCCTCGAACACCCTAAGCCAACATGGAGCCTGGATCCTGGTGGTTTCCAGGACTCCGAGTCGTCCAGTGCAGAGGCCTCAAGTTCGGTCACTGGGCGGCACGATGTGCGAATGGCCATGTGATTTTGCATGGGGCGCGCGGAGAGGGGGGTTATGGGGGGTTGGGGGTGCCGACCCCAAAGCGTAGAAACAGGGGCTCTTAAACAGGGGCCTTTCCCCAAAGTTGAGGTAATCAAAGTTTGAATTGAAGGCCCGAGACTTTGAACTCTAAACTGGCAAGGGTTGCGTAGTGGCACGGGCATCTTGGACCGGCAAAGCAAAGTGGCATTCTGAGTAGTGTACTGTGTCTCCCCCGCTCCCGGAACCAAAGGGCATACCTGGCCGAGGGGTTCCGGGTTCCATACATTCGCCAGAACCTGGAGGATTGGAGTTTGATCTCGTCTAGTAAGTTTACAAAATTCACAGAGTAAAAGTTCGAGAAGGAATCGTAGCGCATGGCACTGACGGTCTCTTTGTGGGGCTTCTTGAGTTTTGACCCCTGGAGGCTAAGCGGCTAAAGTGCTTTGCTTCCCTTGAAGCTCAGCGAGTCAAGTTGTCCCAAGCCATTACTCTATGCCTGGCACGCGCTGATGGAACAGTGCTTGGCTTCAGCTCATTGTCATTCTGCGGTGTAGCTGCAGCTGTCGAAAACCTGAGGGGGTGCAACTGTTTGTAAACCCAGGACTGAAGCAAGTTCAGCGCCATCGATGCAGCTGAGTGCGTTTCTGCTCGGGCAGTGCGGGGCGCAAGCCACATTCAAGTGGTAAAGAATAAGAAGCTCAACCTATGGGTAAGCCATTTCTCATAATTAGACCTTGGTGATGCCACTCCCTGAAGGTAATGCATGAGGTGCCTGAAGCAATAATACATCCAGGAACGAAAGCTCTCACATGAAGTGGCAGCCTCAAAAAAGTAGCCAAAAGAACAGACAGGTTGCAAGTCATAGACTTCAATTCGACTGCTGAAACTTTTGCTTTTGCGCAGCTCATGCCACAGCCGCCGGGAGATACATTTTGCAGGCTGAAGTTTGGGATCTAGCTTTCGGGATTGAAATGGATACCATGTTTGTGCATACCGGGGTCATGGGCAAGATCTGGTGGGCCATTTGCAGCTGAAGGAAGTTGAAGTCCACATGGGTTATTCTCGAATATTTGTTCTCCCTGAGGCCCTGTGAAATTCAGCGTCAAGTATTTCAGTGTCACAAGAAGGGTCCTTAATTCTGGGAGTCAACCAGAAGTATACCCTGTTATAATAACATAGTAGTTTCCGTTTTCTTTTCCATTATCCCTACTAGAACCCCAATATAACCCTAATATAATCCCCCTATATAAACCATTATAGTAGTTTCCATTTTATTTTCCATTATCCCTACTATAACCCCCAATATAACCCTAATATAATCCCTATATAAACCATTATAGTAGTTTCCATTTCATTTTCCATTATCCCTACTATAACCCCATATATAACCCTAATATAATCCCTATGTAAGATTCGTGGCGGCCACCTTTGGGAACCAGGGGGGGGCCTGGGCTGCACAGCCATTACTTGCACTGGACTTCTTGGGGTCCGATCTGGAAAGCTATCAGAATGCCAAGCTATGCTAAGGGTAGGCATTTCAGAAATTTTGGGGCCGGCAGTTGTTACATCACGTCGATTTCATAGCTGGCACAGGTTGGACCCTGGATAAGACAGCCCAAGAGAAGCAAGGTTCCCACTTCAATAGGGCACGCTGAGCCCTCAGCCAAGCAACTGTTTCCCATAGTCAGAAAACCTTTGCCCAGGAAGGCTGGCCCAATCTCCTCCCCCTAGTATTAAACCCCCCATGCCCCCTAAGATACTATTCCAAAAAAAATATTAGGAGGGCGGGGGTGTTTAATATTAGGGGAGGAGATTACTGTCTATTTGAAAGACTGCGCGTGGTTGCAGTCAGTTCACATTGATGTCCTGCAGCTCTGTTTGTTCAGGGCAGGCTAGCCGTGCCACGCTGAAGCTGCCAAAATGGGGTTAGGAGTGGCATGCAGAAGGGGCAAATTGGATTGACAGGGAGAGGAATTGCATCAACATTGCGAAGGGGCTCAGCAAATTGCAGCTGTGTATTCTCCTGGACTGTGGGAACCTTCGCCGAGTCCTAGTGGGTTTGTCTCCGGAGCTCCCCCAAAGATCAGGGAATGCTCTTCCGAGGTACAGAGGGACGTCCCTCCGTTTGGGATCGAAGTAGACCCCGCTAGTGCGGGCCATAGAAGGCCCCTAGGGGCTGCTAAGGCTGCGCTGCCGAAGGCGGCGAAGGCAGTGTGCGTACAGTTTCTGGGTATTAGGAAAGGTAGATCGATAATAATGCTGAGGGTGATAAGAGACAGAACGGGAGTTGAGGAGGCTTAGAGCTTTGATTGTTCCACTACCTCCAGTCATTACCGGCACGAGGTGTAGCGCCTGCGAACAGTCAGCCCAGCTGCTCATGCCTTCGAGTCGCTCACGTTTCAGTTAGACTGCAGCGCAGGTAGTTTCTTGCAAAGCCTTTGAAACGGTTTGGGATGCTTGTACCCACTGGAAGTCGAACTGCATGATACTCGCTTAACTTCTGCCAAGCGATCTTTCCACAGACTGCCAGTTGGTCTTGGGACCCAGGCCCTGCATGCAATTCAGCTTCGCGAGGACCAGCACCCCTCGGCTGAGTGAGCAAAGCTTTGAACCACGCCTCCGCACGGATGACCCGGATAACCTCCGCAAACGCTGTCTGGCTAAAGCATGATCGAAACAGCTGCTGTGGCGTATGGAGGCTGCTTAGCATGGTGCAACGGCTACAAAAGCCTATGGCTGCTTGATCTAATAGCGCCTGTGAAGTTTTGAATTTGGCATTGGTGGTCGGAGCGAGCGCAGCGAGATCCTAACAATAGAAAAGGATGTCAAGAACCAACTTTGGACCGCCACTAGATTTGCCGGTTGATGGTCACAATTATAGTGTTCGGGTCACACCAACAAAATCAACCATGAGGATTTCCTTTGCAAGAGGGCCCTCAACAATGGAAGACTTGCTGAACGTCTACTGCAGGGCTTATCTTGCTGCGGAGATGCTGGGATCAAACATTTCAACCGTACCCAAAGCAGACTGTAAGGAAGCCTAGCCAAAGTCAGAAGGACTGCAGATACTGCCCTTCGGTCTTTGCTTAGAGGGTGGGCCCAGCTTGTTACTGCACTGTCATTCAAGTCTTGTTGAGCAGCCCTGCAGTTTTGGCCGCAGCATGGCTGCAATAATCGGTAAAGAAAAAGTATTGGCTTCTAGATTCCAGAGGTGTGTTCTGCAAGTGGATTATAAGGGCCTTTGAGGGTATGCATGAGTACATACCTGGGAAGCAGGAACCCCAAATACGTATCCACATCAGGGGGCTGCACCTCTAGCTTTAGGCACAGAGGCCTTAGAGTTGTTGCGGTGTTTGGCACAAGTCATGATCTGGTGCAGGCAACTGGGAATGTTTGGCGGTCAGAAATGTTGGTCACGTGTTTTGCTCTGGTACTTCTGCGAGACACACTGCAAGCGTGGCTACGTCCCAGCTCATCGAAGGCCTTTGCAAACTTTCTCCGTTGTTGCAAGGCGTGATCGCCTTGAAGTCCGGTCTGCAGTACAAGGCCTGGTAAGGTTTTGCAGGTTCGGTCCGTCATGCTGGGCAAAAGGCCAGCATGCGTGTCGCTAAAGGTACAGCGCTGCCCTCCAGCAATGCATTCTATGTGCAGCCTTCCAGCTGCCTAACAGTGATCCCTGAGCAGGTCCTAAAAAAGGGCGACGGCAAGTTTCATCCGAAGAAGGACTGCGGGTGAGGATATGGCAGCCAAACTCAGTGCGTTTACACCCAACCTAACATGGCTCGTACTCTGGTACTCTAAGCGTTTAAGCGATCTTTTGAGGTTTCTCCAGCAGGCCTGAACCCCGGCTCAAAGGATCCTGCCTTGAGTAATGTGCGATCGCCACTTGAACCTTACCGGAAGGTAAAGCCAGGTAATGTGTCAGATCCGAAAAACCATCACACTCACCCAAGCGTCAGTGTACAGTGGAGACTTGAGATTTTCCCTCAGTCGTACATACCGTTCGGGGAAAAAAGGGAAGAGCACAACAGTTGTGAGTCCTTGCTTTTTCTTGGGCATATATAATCCTCATTTTGTGGAGCGAACATCCAAACAATCCAAAAGTCTTGAAGCTCGCTTGGTAGATCTTCGCCAGGATACGACGTGCAGCTGCCATTACGTCGGGCTCTCGTCGATTTTGCTCGCTTCGTCGGCTATGGCTTTTGTGACAGCTTTCACACGTGCAAGGAATGCCAGATGGTAGTTTCCCAAAATTAGGGGGCCCCAATATAGACCCCAATATACTATAGTCCTTATTATTGGGACCCCCAAAATGGTACCCCTAATTTTAGGAAGCCCCTAGACGTTCAACTCAGTTTCCCATGGCTCACCTGGCAGGCTGCATTTCAATCTCGCTTAAACGATGTAGGGGCTGAATTATGGCCACATGCCCCTCTTTCAGCACACTGCCCAAGCATCAAGTCAAAAGCACGCAGTCTGAGAATTCCAGAGCTAATGCGCTCGCGAAGAACTAGTATTGTGCTGCATGACCTCGGATCATTCGCTTTGCGACCAGGACCCGTCCAAATATGGGCCTTATCCATACCGCCCCAACCATCAACGCTGCGAGCAATTGGGCGAGCTGGGAAATCCTCATGTAATCGGGTGCCAATCGTAGGGCATTTCTCGAAGCCCGAAGTAGTCTTCCGGAAAGGCAGCCAGAAGTTGTAGAACGAGCCACATACTGTAGCTGACAGAACCTCTTTGAATCCCTCTAAGCTGTTGCAGCCGAAGGCCCTATGCCATACACCTATACCCGAAGCTCCTACACAAGGCCCATCAACGACCTCTGCAAACCTCGAAGAATCTTTCCATGATCCTTATGCGCCCCTACAAGCCCTGTCATGCTGCCAAGAAGTCCGATAAGCGCATCCTGGACCGTGTCCTCCAAACAGCGACGCCCCAGGCTGGAACCACCTTAAGTCTGACGCCCAATGCCATCGACATACCAGAGGATCAGTGGTCCGAGCCGGGCTGCCCATGTAGGGCTTATAGGGCTTGGTGTCACATGCAGGACCGTTTGGGAAGGTATGTGGGACTTGAAAACGATTTGTCGCACGTTAGAAGAAGAGAGTTTATAGCGCTGCAACGCTCAAAGCTTCAAGCTTGCTGCTCAGTACGCGTATGGTTTTGGGTACGGCCTCATGTCACATGCTGCCAATTCTGCAGATCGCGACTGGTTTGGGTGGCGTTGGTACAACTTGGGCCTTCTGCTGTTGATTCGATTCTAGTCCTAGGTAGAGACACAATTCACCTTGCTTGCAGCAGCCATCAAAGGAGCTATGTTTGAAGCGGCCTTGGCGCCCGTCGTTGCTGGTGGGTTTGTTAAGGCTTTGGCGCCGAAAGTGACCAACAGGGCTGTGACTATAGGCAAAGTACTGGCAGCTTGTGACTCCCCACGGAGAACCTGCTCCAAACAAAAATTCCCCGGCACCAGGACGAAGATCCTAGACCTTTGTCAGTGACATGAAGCTGTTCTCTACAGAACTTGGTCTCACGAAGGAGCATCCATACCCTCCTCGTGAACCCAAAACTATCAAAACCAACACACCAGCAGAGGTTCGACTCCTCCTACAAGAGGGGCTCTCCTACCGACTTTGCCCCAAACCAGGCCAGAATTGACTTTGATCCACCTAGCGGAGAGAACAGCAAGGGTACGTGTTGTGGATTCATGAGCGAGGGGCTCTTCATACGGTCAAGTCCCAGACCTTTTTCTCCTTGCGCTAGTTCCTGTGAAGGGCAAGGGAGCTTTCCGGCTTCTCGGGCTTGCCAGTCCGGTGCTCTCCAAAGCTGTGGGCTGTTAGCAGACAGCTTGGTGCGCAATGGGCTTTCAGATGAGCAATGTCTAGTCAAGTATCTTGATGGGCAGCCACCGGCGCCCAGGTGTACGGATGTCATGTTGAGGCGAAATTGGAGCGCAGACAGCTTGAGTACACGCTAGAGGCAGGTGACTAAACTCCAAGAAAGCCAAAAGTCCAGATCCCCGTTTGGGAGCTCATGGGCTGCTGTCTCATAATTTGTACTTCACGAGTCCACAACCTCAGATTTGTTGTCTTTGCTGGGGCGACCTCTGCATTGAACGACTGCGTCTTATCCTTGCAGCCCATCAGCCACGTTGGTCTCTTTATGCTGGTCTCGATAGGTCATCAAGGCCTGGACAGAGGCAATGCAGCTCATGGCAGGGGCCTTTGCATTGCACGGTGCATTGCAGGCAGCTTCCGGAAAGTGGTACTTACGCTGCAGGCTTTACGGAGCGTCACTGGGATGTGTTGGGCTACCTGAAACCATGCTTGGATTCAGGTCGAGGGCGATAAGTGGGAGCTCTACATCCCTTCCAAGCTTGGCACCGGTCCCAAATGCTTTTGGCTGAAACTTTGAGTCTGCCGCATCGGGTTTCCACAGGGTTTTCTCACAGCCGCATGCATCGCATAATCTCTGTTGAAATTTCTGGCAACCTGTAGCTCGCCCGCAAACCAGGGTACGGCGACCAGGGTAGCGGTCCAAAGATCAATGGCAGCTGCCTCAGACAGCCTTCAGGCAACGATCAGCCATGTCATTACTGGCACTGAGAACGGTAGTCAGATTCATGATCGTCACAGTCATAACTGCGCAACCGCTCGGAAAATGGAATTGAGCAGATCGGCGGGAATCCTAGTCATGCCAACAGAAGAATTCAGAAGCACGACGACGAGATACTGCGGGGTTTGTGTGTCTGGACCAAGGCATTTACATGTATGGAAGTGCCGACTGCTCTCGGAAAGCATGCTTGCTGACGTGATGCTGATGCCTTCTTTCACTTCTGCTAGCTGTTGGCTGTTCTTTTGTCATCTTTACGGTTCCTGCTCCCCATAAATTCCTCTGCTTCAGTCCTGCACAGCATTCAAACAATGGCAGCAAGTAGGGCAGCTATGAACTTGATGTCTGCCAAGTCCATAACGGACTCACATGGACTCAAGGGCTTCGTGTCAAGGGTTTGGGCTTGGCATCTGGCTTTCTCCAGAGGATCCGTTTATGCAAAACCGTGTAATAGCACTTCTTGAAAGCCTTGCATTCAACATATCCCTCCTTGGCTGTGCAGGCCCCACATCTGAGCGCAGAATCTGCAGAATCAGCCTTCGCTTAATCTTCACACTGACCCTACGGGGTTGCAGGACTTGTAACATCCGATGTCGGCAGAACTTCCTTGTGCATCATATTATGAGAAGCCCTGCCTTCACGGCCTACAGCTCTACCCCAAAAAAGCCAGGTGGTGAGATGCTTATCTTCAGAATGGAGATGTTGAAGATCGTCGGCAGTGGCAAAGCTGGCGAATGTGTTAATCATGCTTATTTGTATGTCGGTGAGCTCTACTGCAGTTGACTTAAGGCTGTAGCAGCTTGAGCCCAGAAACCTAAACGACTCTGCTCCAGTCGTTGTACGGCCAGCTCCTGGTGCAGCCAGGCAAAGTGCGTGCCGCAAAGTGCGATCTCAAGACACGGGAGAACTGCGAGTGCGAGCCTGGAGTTGAAGTTGTTGTTCGAGGTGTTCAAATGAAGCATACAGTTCTGACTCGAGTTTCTTGCAGAATCGGGAAATGCAGAGACTTCATACACCAAGCCTCCACTTTTGAGAGCTTCAGCAGATTCAGGGGGGAGGGATCTATGCGAGGGCGTAAAGGTCTTGCCGGATACAGGTGCCTCGCTAGCAGTAGACTTGAAGGGTTGGCTTGCGAACATAATGTTGGGGCTTGCTTCCCTGTGCACTTGGCCGGTTGCTTGCCTGGGTCTGTAACAGGCACAAGCACTTTTGCTCAATAAGGCCTGATTTGGGCTTTTAGCTGTGCAGAAAGGCTTTGCTAGGTGACTCTTTCTGCTAGGCTTTTGGTACTGGACATGGGGAATACGTGTGTGTAAACCAGTGTACGCCAAGAGGTTGTACATGGATCGGGACTTGCAGCTTGCCAACTGTATCGTAACGTGCAATTATTGGCTATGTGTGTGCATGGAGCTTTGGGCCTACCTCAAGTCCGGCCGCAGAGGGCTCAAGACCCCGGGCTTGTGTAATCACCCGGGCCTGTCGCTCCATGGGGAAGAAGAGGCAGCAACTTGGCGAAGGATGCAGTCTTTGCAACGCCCCAGGTTTCGCCTTCTTACTACGGCCATCTACGGCCCGCCTCTGCTTGCTACAGTGCAAATTGAGCATTTTGCCTTTACAGGGTGTAGCGGCACAGTTGTCCCATCACGGATGCACATGACATTTTCTGAGCAGGCTATCTATCTTTGAACCTGCACTTATGTTAGCAGAGTACCTGTGCATCACCGGATGCGCCAGGAGGGCTGTGTCACTTGTGGCAAGACATTCCCTCCAATAGCTGGGCCTGCCTCGCAAACAATCAAACATTGCGTGCCTGCTGCCAGAAGATGTGAAAGCCGTAAAACATTCTTGTGGTTATCTCCGTTAAGGGCCTCTGCACCAAGCTTTGTTGAAACTTGGTTGGAAAAGGTCGACTGCTTCTGGAAGCAGCCTGTGAAGCTTTCTCATCATTGGTTGCCATATGCAGTACATGCACCCACGCGAAGATGTTTTATGGGGACCATGGGGCATCAAACTGCACATGACTACCCAAGTGTATGAAAGCAATTCCTTCAAAACACCTTCAACCTCCCAGGGCAGAGCCAAAACTTTACATTTACACTCGACCTCCATACCGAAAGAGGCTTTGCCTTGGGAAATTAGCTTTGCCTTGCAGCCCGAACACTTCTTGAGCCCCGTGGAGCCTTGAGACCTTTGTTCTTGGCCCTGATGCCCAGGTATGGCGAGGACGAGCCGGCGCCGCGGCCCGGTCGCCCTGAGATGGGCGGCGGAGGAGGGAGACCGCGACCAGGCCGTGGGCCAATCAGTCTTTGGCTTCAAGGGGGTTGTAAGGAGGTGGGTGGACATAGAGGCATTTATGCAGCCTGGGGCTTATAGGGTTCAGGGCAATTCCCCCTCAACCATGGAAAGGCACAGGGAAGCGGGGCGGGACTGCAATTTGGTTTGCATTCGTCCTTTGCATAATGCGTGGTAGGCATAATAAGGGGCAGGATGCATCATTTTGCTTTTGGCATCAGGTTTAGGTCGTCATATGTTAAAATTATAGCTCGCACCTACCCCCGTACTTGGAATTCAAAAAAGGCACGCACCCCGGAAGGGGACCCATGCTTGTAGCACAGCCCTTACGTGGGCAGCCTTGCCTTTTTACGGCGCTCACTCTGAGACTGTTGTTGGAGTGTTCCCACAACAGCAAGTTTTCTTGGATACTCTTACTTTCTTCTTGGGCGCTCTGGCGTGCAGTTGCAGTGGTCTTGAGTTGCTCGGGGCGGTTGGTCTTGCACGATTTGGGGTCTTGTCGCTTGCTGAAGCTGAAGAGGTTTGGCTATGCCTCACAACAAGGTCTGCATAGCACCCCAAGAATACAGGTGTCTTGTCGTAAGCAACCTGCCGACAGACCTGCTGCACGACACTTCAAGTTCCCAACCCAGGGCTCCTCGATGAAGATGACATTCCACGGCCGAAGAAAGTGAAGCCACTCTGGCTGCAAAGAGGAAACCTGGCTGGATGGCCTTTGACTGAGAAAGCACGTAAGAATTGAATAGGTTATAATAGGTTACTCCCTTCAGAGAGGGTGCTTGGGCTGTAGAGTCATTCCCTGAGATGAATGGAGCCTGGAGCCTCACTGTAGCCTAAGGGAACGAACGTCACTGAAGCATGCTTCCTGACGCAAAGGCCCTAAAGCTGCGGGTGGATCATCTTGGAGTACAGCTTGTTGAGAGTCATACATACAGTCATCAACGGCTTAGCTAAGTTTAATGTGGGCTTTGTTTTATGATTACATGTCAGAATCCACACAACACAGGCTCACCTGTCACTTGTCCTTAAACTAATTGGACATCTATCATTTATCGCTGCGGATCCTCAGGCGCTGCCTTAGATTGCAAACGCACCGAGTCCTCTTGTCATGAAAGATTGAAAAACCAAGCTTAGAGCACGGTACAAAAGCATGGCAGAACGTGGAACACATGTACCTTCGGTGTGTACGGATGCCAGGGTGGGGAGCTTCCAGCAATGCTAAGCCCCCTTTCCCTGAGCCCTGGTTATGATGAACCCCATATTTACAGCATATGTTGCCAAGTCCTGAATGACTCTGGCACACTTCCTAGGCCACAGAACTTGGAGAAGCTTTCAATTGAAGAGCTTCACCAACGAAAGCACGACCTGAAGCAGGAGGACAGCCTACGACAAAGCAACATTGCTATGTCCATCAGTGATGGCTGTTGCGAGCGAGGGCATATCAGTCACAGTGGCAGTGGTCATCATCGTAACACTAATGCCGTTATGCTGAAAGCCGTAGCAATTCCTGCAGCTGCGCAGGCTTTCAAATAATTCTAGCTTCGCACGTTAGAACGCAAGTCACAGCAGATGAGCAGTAGGAGTACTGGCGGGGGGCCATGCCAAAGCTGCAGCTAGAGGGTGTGGGAGTGCTCTCAAGTTACAAGTCGGGGTTCATGGAGTTGCTTGTGCCTGGTCAAGGACCCGGATTTGCTGGGCAGAACCGGTTTCCGGAAGCTTCAACATTCGTATCACAAACGCCAAGCTAAAATGTAGATTCTAATCTGGGCCATTCCTCTTCGTCGCAACATGTTCAGAGCAGTATTATTCGCCAAGATGTCGGAATGATCCCAGGGAGGGTCCGTTTCTACAACATGTAGCGTGCTTCCGCCGCGGTGGTTTCAAGGAAACGTGGAGATATGGGATGACATCCCCTCTGCCCTTGCAATTGCAGGAGAATTATCAGAACATGGTGATGTCCAAGAAGAAGCGTGGACCGTACAGCGCTAGCTACTTGGCCGCATGATGTGCTTGCACCGAGTGCCACCGCCAGGCAACGCAGCCACTCATATAGTCACAGTGCATTTACGGATACTGAATTTCATAGTAGGTCATGACATTGGCGTGCTCGAATCAGAATGACGCCCATGACATGTTTCCTCGTTGTTGCTGGACTACCTGGCGTCCTGCTCGGTTGTCTGAGTGCGGACATAGATTTAAAGCAGATGTATTTTGAGGCATGCTCCTAAGGAGTCTCGACTTCACAGGAGCTGTGGGGTTTTATGGGGGATATTATGCACCGTGGTAATATAGCTCAAGTTTTGGTGCATTACTGGCACGGACCAGAATACAGGTCTCATGAGCTTCAATATGAACCCTGAAGGTCCCAGGGCCATGTGAACATGTACTTCCCCAAGACCTGCAAGAAGTGGCCAAAAACTGAGCCCTCTCCCAAGAGCCATATGAAACAGCCTCTGCAGGTGACATCCGTGCGACATACACTCAGGCTGGTCGATTTCCTAAATTGAAGCTGGACACAACTGGTCATAAGATGAAAACGGGCGAGAGCATGTAGCAATGATGTGGAAGTTCATTGCTCATGCAGCCTTTACTGCACCTAATCTCCGAATCTGCGAGCAACTCCCACCTCTACAACAGTTGGTGAATGCATCCCTCTCTGTCGCAGCAGCGAAGCCTATCTGCGGTGCTTTGACAGGTGCTGCGGTTTCAGTACCTCCAGAAGGAGGTGCGTCACACTGCTGCTGGAAGTTCATGTCCAAAAACAACGTATGCCATCCCAGACATCCTACGTAAAGCCTGGTTCGTTCTTAGCTGTATTGTCGGATTGGATGCCTGAGCCTTAGACGTAGACGTAAATTCAACGAGGAATGTTCTGCTTCTACTTCTGCTACTCGTAGTACTCCTTGGCATCGCATCGATTGGCGCAGATAGCAAATTAAGATCCCAAACAGGGAGTTCCTTTGCAAACAAGGGTGGAAGACTCGTTTTTTCGACGCAGCCGGTCCAAGGTTCATGAACCTTTCCTTGCACCCACCCGGTACCCGAACATACCCCAGGTTTCCAGCAACACCCAGCGCCTGCCCTGGGAACAACGTCACACCAGCTACAGGTAGACCTCGAGATTGAGCGGCGCGAGGCGCGGAAAGAGAAGCAGGCACCGACCATTCACGGTTGCGGGCTGCGAGTGAGTGTTCAGGTCGAACGATTAAAAAGCCTTATCATGTTGCGTGAAGCCTTAATCCTCGCACGTGGCAGCATTTACACAGCCTGGCCCGAACATGATAGATGCCAGCTCGTTGGGTCATGACTGCTGTGCTCCCGTGTCAGCGACTTCGACAGACGGAGGGGTGCACTCTTGAGCCTCTTCCCTCTTGTTTCCCTTCTTCTGCTCTGCAGCTTCAAACATGCCACCACACTTACAGGGATACTTACAACAAATGGGGCTTCAACCCGGTCCCACCCCCCCATACGAGCACGCCACTTGCCTTCAATGGTTATCTTCTTCCTCTACATTCTTTGGTCTAATGATTGGCTACTGCTTGGCACACAGTGTGTTGCGTTGCCAGGGAGCAGCAGGCAAGGTTTGTATCCGAATCCCAAAACCTCAGAACAGTTGTCCTA